GAAGTCGTTTAAAGGTTTTAAACATATTTGACCCCAGTGACCTTGAATATAAATCAAGGTCATTTATTTGAACAAACTTGGTAGCCCTTCATCCCAGCATGTTACTGGCCAAATATCATCATCCTAGGCCTCTTGGTTATTCAGAAGAAGTCGTTTAAAGGTTTTAAACATATTTGACCCTTGTGACCTTGAATATAAATCAAGGTCATTTATTTGAACAAACTTGGAAGCCCTTCATCTCAGCATGTTACTGGCCAAATATCATCACCCTAGGCCTCTCGGTTATTCAGAAGAAGTTGTTTAAAAGATTTTAATATATTTGACCCCTGTGACCTCGAATATAAGGCAAGGTCATTTATTTGAACGAACTTGGAAGCCCTTCATCCAAGCTTGTTACTGGCCATATATCATCATCCTAGGCCTCTCGGTTATTCAGAAAAAGTTGTTTAAAGGTTTTAAACATATTTGACCCCTGTGACCTTGAAAGTCGGTGAAGGTCATTTATTTGAACAAACTTGGTAGCCCTTCATCCCGGCATGTTACTGGCCAACTATCATCACCCTAGGCCTCTTGGTTATTCAGAAGAAGTTGTTTAAAGTAAAAAGTTGACGCCGGACGGACGACGGACGGACGGCGGACGCCGCACCATGCCATAAGCTCACTTGGCCCTTCGGGCCAGGTGAGCTAAAAATAGACTCAAACCTTAATATTTTGGTCACTAAATCTAGGAAAAAGTGACAATTTCTGTTTCATTAATAAAAAGAAAAGCTCTTCCTGCAACGATTTATGGCAGTATCGTAGGCAGCAATACTGAATTTACGATTCGCATACCGGTAACTACAACACAGCAATCCGAAAAATCGGAGAGCGATGTTGATCAAATATCAGGAGTAGAAACTAATCACAAAACCAACTCGGGTGATGGCTGTAATGATCAATCTACAATTAGTTTTGATGAGTACTTTTCAATTGTATTATAAAATCTATGGGTTCCTCCTGTTAAATTTCAGTATTTCCAGAAATTCTACTAGTCCCATGAATAAACTATGAGTACAGGAATGAAGTCTTTGTTTTTAGGATCCACTCGTTAAGTGTATCAATGAAAACAAAACGGTAGGTTTCTTTACCACTTGTTAAGCCCTTACATACTAACTTATCACTTAAATAGGCTATATGTTATTGTGAATATCAACAAATTGTTCTACGTTATAGATTGTACACAACAGACTTCAGTGTACTATACAAACACATAGACAGACACACCAACACTTATAAAATAATAGCTTGTTCTTTTGTTACAAAATCACATTTTTCTTGATATTTTACTTTGGCTAACACACGATAAATACAAACAAGACAAAAATCTGTCAGTATGCTTAAGTATGTCTTAACCAAAAAGGATAGCAACATGTAATAATAATAAAGATATGAAAAAAAAAAAAAATTGATGAAATGATGTTACAATTCATTTCATTTTCAATTACAGAACACAAGAGATTGCTATTCAATATTGATAACTTGGAACACTGAAAACTGAACATATTTCTGAAGAAACGTTGATCTCAGTTTTCTTTTTTAAATATCACATTATACATCTATATAGTTATATCTGTTTAAGTGTAACATTTGCCTCAATAGAGTACATCATGCTTTTCAAAGTCTGAATAGCGGAATTGTGACTCCGGCTGTATAAGGGGAGCGGTAATATCCTGACTCTGTCCCTCCACGTCAATGTCTAGGAGGGTGGTCTGGTGAGCGATGTGCGGTGGTGTGTGACCAGGAGACAGACTCGAGCGAGTTGAGTAGTAAGGAGTTGTGTCGGAGTTTCCGTCTTGCTGCCGGTACATCGCTTCATTCTTGTCGACCTGCACTGGTGAGGCCTCGCTGCTAGCAACATTTTTGTTGTTCTGTTGAAGCGGTGGTATTCTCACAAGTGTCGGTCTATGTCGAGGCCCCACGTCCAGCGTTGAGGGCCTCTCTGGCACAGACACATCTCCGTTTGTGTTTATCCGACGGCGTGGGGGAATCGGTGGAGGAGCTTCAGACTCCTGTTGTCTAGAACTATAGTCACTGCGATGCAGAGAAGATCTGTTTGGTGTGCCCCGTGACTCAAAGTCTTGAGGCGGAATGGGTGGGCCTGAACCTGAGGAATTAGAAGGGGAGAGTCTATTTGAATTGTTGTTTTTACTGTCTCGGATGAAATCAGGTCTGAAATCGTCTTCAAACGTTACAGAATGTCTATGGGAACTTTTAGATGTTCTTGGTGTGTCGTAATTACTGCCATCAGATGTCTGTCTCTGGAGTGTCCCATGTCCCCGGTGTTCGGGATAAGGAGATGGAGAAATGACAGTACTAGTATCACTCTCACTGTATAATGACTGGCGTTTCGGAGTTGAGTGCGATGTTAAAGTACTTGTTGTGTGAGTTGAAGGAGTTGTTGAATTTTGTTCGTTTTGTTCTGTAAACCGAATAGGCACATCCATGTTAATGCTCGGGCGATGCTTCACGCTGCAGCCATGATATGTATTGTGTGGGTAGCCGGAAGTTGAGGTAAAGCGATAAGCTGAGAATTCATCGGGTTCTATAAAGGAATCACGCACAGCCGCATTATAGGCATCACGACGGTTTCCAATATAAGAGTCTCTTTTTCTACGCACAACACGATTGTCCTCCCTGGAGTTCTGCGGGGCAAGAGGGGTTGACCTGATGTCAAACCCTGCTGCCACGGCAACCAACATGGCTGCCATATTGAGCAACACAGACTCTGTCTTATTTTCAGCTTTTTTCTTGTCTGGTAGTGAAGAACTTTTCCCTGAATCGCCAGACTCGTATGGAATGTTTCTCCCTCGCCCCTCCTCAAAAAGCTCAACCGGCAAATCATTTTCATCACCATCTGGAACACGGAGAAATAAAATTAAACAAGACAAGCAATTTTATTTACATAATTATACATCATGTCTTGCAACTATAACAATCATCTGTCCCTGTACTTAATAATCATTAAAATCTTATATCAAGTCAGCAGTTTTGGATTATCAGTTCATTAATTCAGATTTATTGACTCATTATAAAAACATGTTTAGTTCCATGTCTTTTTTTTTTAGTGAAACATTGGTATGTTTTTTTTTTTTTTAGAGAACATTGTTTAAAAACCTTTGATTTTTTTTTAAACACAGTCGGGACACAAGATTAAAATACTTCTAAATACCCATGCATATAAAATGAAAGGACTGTAATACCTTTAGACATTTTTCAATAATTTAGTGGAAATGATCGGTATTCAACAGTAATCAGTGTTTTAACACATGTACACACTGCTGCCTGGGAGAAATCAGCAGGGACGTTCTAATTTAATCTAGCAATGAATGCCAATTGTTTCATTGGGTGAAAATATTGGGACAGCTTTGTGTCCAATGGAGTTAAAAATAAACATAACTGAAACAGCCACAATTATTTCAGCTTCTACTTTAGAGTAGTTCAGCTCCTGAATGAAGGGATCTGTCTTCCCCACATAACCATAGTGGAGATTTACAAGATATCAATGTCACTCCTGTTACTATCCGACGTTGTGGACATCTTGTATCACCAATACCTTGTATGCACATCTACAGACAATAACACTCTCCAAAAGGTATAGTTCTAACAACTACATCCAACATCCAAGGTCTTTTTCAATTAAAAGGGGTCAAGGGTAAAAAGATAGGAATCCTCATACACATCTAGGTCAAACAGGTCATGGGTCCCCACACATCTAGGTCAAACAGGTCACGAGTCCCCACACATCTAGGTCAAACAGGTCACGAGTACCCACACATACATTGATCAAATACGTTTAGAGCAAACGTTAAAGACTCCCACATGTACCTTACTAAAAAGTTAAAAGTTAAAAGGCGATTAGTTATAACCCTCATCTTCATATGGGTCAGTTGTTTAAGGTCAAGAGTAGTCTTTGTCTATTGGTTAAATAGGTCAAAGTTCAAATGTCTTCCAACACCTGGGAAAAAATGTCAAGACATAAGAATAACAGAAAAATCATGCAAATTAAGAAATATAGAAAGATATAAATAGAACTACTTTGCATAATAGAAGACATGGATGCTCCCAAGAGGTATATATGGATTAAACCCTCTTTTGATCAGGTCAGGGTGCCCAATAGCAGCTAGTTTTTTATTGTTTATTTTAAAATCAAAAATGAAGAAGATTGGATTTTTTTTTATCAGTACTGAACAAAACTAAATTATTTATATCTACAGTAAATAATAAAGTTATACAGAACAGCAAATATTACATGTTAATTTTAACAATGGCCATGACCTTTGAGAAGTATTGACATGCCATTTAGGGGTGATGCACATTTTCATAGAGATATTTCTGCAACAATTACAAAATTAAGACTGGGATAAAATATGAAATTCAACTTTCGAGCTTTAACAGTAACCTTGACCCTGAAAATAATAAGCAACAACACACCATAATGCACATGTGTCTGAAGTTTCATCAATGAGGAATCTAAGGCTTGACCAGGAAAATGAATGTTTGGGCCTGATATGACTTACTCTAAATGGATGTATGGGGTGGATATGACATACTCTAAATGGATGTATGGGGTGGATATGGCTAACTCTAAATGGATGTATGGGGTGGATATGGCTTACTCTAAATGGATGTATGGGGTGGATATGACCAACTCTAAATGGATGTATGGGGTGGATATGGCTTACTCTAAATGGATGTATGGGGTGGATATGGCTTACTCTAAATGGATGTATGGGGTGGATATGGCTAACTCTAAATGGATGTATGGGGTGGATATGACATACTCTAAATGGATGTATGGGGTGGATATGGCTAACTCTAAATGGATGTATGGGGTGGATATGGCTTACTCTAAATGGATGTATGGGGTGGATATGACATACTCTAAATGGATGTATGGGGTGGATATGATTAACTCTAAATGGATGTATGGGGTGGATATGGCTAACTCTAAATGGATGTATGGGGTGGATATGATTAACTCTAAATGGATGTATGGGGTGGATATGGCTAACTCTAAATGGATGTATGGGGTGGATATGATTAACTCTAAATGGATGTATGGGGTGGATATGGCTAACTCTAAATGGATGTATGGGGTGGATATGACCAACTCTAAATGGATGTATGGGGTGGATATGATTAACTCTAAATGGATGTATGGGGTGGATATGATTAACTCTAAATGGATGTATGGGGTGGATATGATTAACTCTAAATGGATGTATGGGGTGGATATGGCTAACTCTAAATGGATGTATGGGGTGGATATGGCTAACTCTAAATGGATGTATGGGGTGGATATGATTAACTCTAAATGGATGTATGGGGTGGATATGGCTTACTCTAAATGGATGTATGGGGTGGATTTGACTAACTCTAAATGGATGTATGGGGAGGATATGACTTACTCTAAATGGATGTATGTGGTGGATATGATTAACTCTAAATGGATGTATGGGGTGGATATGGCTTACTCTAAATGGATGTATGGGGTGGATATGATTAACTCTAAATGGATGTATGGGGTGGATATGATTAACTCTAAATGGATGTATGGGGTGGATATGGCTAACTCTAAATGGATGTATGGGGTGGATATGGCTTACTCTAAATGGATGTATGGGGTGGATATGGCTTACTCTAAATGGATGTATGGGGTGGATTTGACTAACTCTAAATGGATGTATGGGGAGGATATGACTAACTCTAAATGGATGTATGGGGAGGATATGACTAACTCTAAATGGATGTATGGGGGGGATATGACTAACTCTAAATGGATGTATGGAGTGGATATGACTTACTCTAAATGGATGTATGGGGCGGATATGACTAACTCTAAATGGATGTATGGAGTGGATATGACTTACTCTAAATGGATGTATGTGGTGGATATGATTAACTCTAAATGGATGTATGGGGTGGATATGGCTAACTCTAAATGGATGTATGGGGTGGATATGGCTAACTCTAAATGGATGTATGGGGTGGATATGGCTTACTCTAAATGGATGTATGGGGTGGATTTGACTAACTCTAAATGGATGTATGGGGTGGATATGGCTAACTCTAAATGGATGTATGGGGTGGATATGATTAACTCTAAATGGATGTATGGGGTGGATATGACCAACTCTAAATGGATGTATGGGGTGGATATGGCTAACTCTAAATGGATGTATGGGGTGGATATGACATACTCTAAATGGATGTATGGGGTGGATATGACTTATTCTAAATGGATGTATGGGGTGGATATGACCAACTCTAAATGGATGTATGGGGTGGATATGGCTAACTCTAAATGGATGTATGGGGTGGATATGATTAACTCTAAATGGATGTATGGGGTGGATATGGCTTACTCTAAATGGATGTATGGGGTGGATATGACTTCCTCTAAATGGATGTATGGGGTGGATATGACCAACTCTAAATGGATGTATGGGGTGGATATGACTAACTCTAAATGGATGTGTGGGGTGGATATGACTTACTCTAAATGGATGGATGGGGTGGATTTGACTAACTCTAAATGGATGTATGGGGAGGATATGACTAACTCTAAATGGATGTATGGAGTGGATATGACTTACTCTAAATGGATGTATGTGGTGGATATGATTAACTCTAAATGGATGTATGGGGTGGATATGATTAACTCTAAATGGATGTATGGGGTGGATATGATTAACTCTAAATGGATGTATGGGGTGGATATGGCTAACTCTAAATGGATGTATGGGGTGGATATGACATACTCTAAATGGATGTATGGGGTGGATATGGCTAACTCTAAATGGATGTATGGGGTGGATATGGCTTACTCTAAATGGATGTATGGGGTGGATTTGACTAACTCTAAATGGATGTATGGGGAGGATATGACTAACTCTAAATGGATGTATGGAGTGGATATGACTTACTCTAAATGGATGTATGTGGTGGATATGATTAACTCTAAATGGATGTATGGGGTGGATATGACTAACTCTACATGGATGTATGGGGAGGATATGACTTACTCTAAATGGATGTATGGGGTGGATATGACTTACTCTATAAGGATGTATGGGGTGGATATGACTAACTCTAAATGGATGTATGGGGAGGATATGACTTACTCTAAATGGATGTATGGGGAGGATATGACTAACTCTAAATGGATGTATGGGGAGGATATGACTAACTCTAAATGGATGTATGGGGGGGATATGACTTACTCTAAATGGATGTATGGGGTGGATTTGACTAACTCTAAATGGATGTATGGGGTGGATATGACTAACTCTAAATGGATGTATGGGGGGGATATGACTAACTCTAAATGGATGTATGGGGTGGATATGACTTACTCTAAATGGATGTATGGGGGGGATATGACTTACTCTAAATGGATGTATGGGGTGGATTTGACTAACTCTAAATGGATGTATGGGGTGGATATGACTAACTCTAACTGGATATGAATGCAGCATTTTCCTGCTAGGGCTTCATCAGAAAAATTATATAAATTAATTCATGAAATAAGCGAAATATTTTTCATTTTATCAAACATGTCTTGTGAATTAAACATTCAATGATTTTCTTGCAAAGGGACATAACTCATGAAAGCTTATTTTCTCCTCAATATTTCTGTGTTTCTGTTACAAGCATTCTAATTCACCACATGCAACACTTTCAGTAGGGATTGCTAATAGCAATGTAAATAATTCAGATTTACGGCCTCCCCACAACCACTCTTGTTAAACCTTTCATCCATACCTTCTGAAAATAAGCTGCAAGGCGACTCATCAGAGACTGTCAAAAAGACCCAGTAACTTAACATTAAGTTAAGAATATTGAAAATTATTTCCTGTGTAAGTACTACATTACAAAATATATTTTTTCTTCTTTTATCGTTTACTTTACAACCAAGCAATTTATTTAACTTTAAACAAAACCATGGTAATATCATTTTTTTGTGTAAAACAAATTACAAAATCATAACTGATTTTGTAAAGCATGGTTTTATGTTCATGACAAAAGTAAAGCTAAAATGCAAGCAATATTACTGCAACGAAGGTCTCAAATATTGGCACACATCTAAATAAAAGACTATGTATCATACTATACAATCTATATTTCTCATGCTTGATATAGATTTCAGTATTACGTATAGTTTTGAGTTACTGACTCGGGCAAGCAAATGCCTTAATAAAGAAAAAGAAAAAAGAGAGAAGTTAGTAAGTATATACATCTTTGAACATATTTCCCAGATGATGGATTACATTTAGTTTGATATCTCAATGTAGATTTTTGCAGGTATTTGTATTGATATGTCGGAGATAAAGGATTAATGCCAGTGTGAAGTCTAAGAATTATAATGTTATTCACTTAAGGGTCAACATACATGTACCTATATACTTAATATATCAACATTGTGCGAAACAAATCTGTTATTCCAGTGAGTGAGTCTTGTATATACACTCTACGATCCACCGTAGACAAGGATAAGCTTCAAACCATTACAAACTTCAAATTGCTCAGTGATCTTTGCAAACTTCCTGTTCCTTAGAAATTATTTCAAACAAACCGCCTGGCCTTAAATTACAACTATAAAATTACTGTTCCTGTGTGATCATTACATACAAACTTCCTGTTCCTGTGTGATCATTACATACAAACTTCCTGTTCCTGTGTGATCATTACAAACAAACTTCCTGCTCCTGAGTTACCATTAGAATCTTCCTGTTCCTGTGTGATCATTACAAACTTCCTGTTCCTGAGTTACCATTAGAATCTTCCTGTTCCTGAGTTACCATTAGAAACTACCTGTTCCTGAGTTACCATTAGAAACTTCCTGTTCCTGAGTTACCATTAGAAACTTCCTGTTCCTGAGTTACTATTACAAACTTCCTGTTCCTTAGTTACCATAACAAACTTCCTGTTCCTTAGTTACCATTACAAATGTCCTGTTCCTGAGTTACTATTACAAACTTCCTGTTCCTGAGTTACTATTACAAACTTCCTGTTCCTGAGTTACCATTACATAATTCCTGTTCCTGAGTTACCATTACATAATTCCTGTTCCTGAGTTACCATTACATAATTCCTGTTCCTGAGTTACCATTACATAATTCCTGTTCCTGAGTTACCATTACATAATTCCTGTTCCTGAGTTACCATTACATAATTCCTGTTCCTGAGTTACCATTACATAATTCCTGTTCCTGAGTTACCATTACATAATTCCTGTTCCTGAGTTACCATTACATAATTCCTGTTCCTGAGTTACCATTACAAAATTCCTGTTACTGAGTTACCATTACATAATTCCTGTTCCTGAGTTACCATTACAAAATTCCTGTTTCTTAGTTACCATTACATACTTCCTGTTCCTGAGTTACCATTACAAACTTACTGTTCCTGAGTTGCCATTACAAACCTTCTTTTCCAGAGTTACCAGCAATTTGATTTCCCCATATAAACTAGAGTTAAGTTTATTCCCTCCCCAGGGGGAAACGTGAAACCCCAGGGTCATGAAATTCACAATTTTGGTAAAGCATCTTAAGACTCTTCCATCTATGAAGAGTATTTGATTCTACCGTATCTGGGTCTTGAGAAGAAGATTTTTGAAATTTCAGTCAATTCAACCCATTTTGGCCCCCCACCCATCAGCCCCTGGGGAACAGTCAGGGCTGATAAGTGCATACCATCAAACTGCTATCCAATACTGATAATGCTAACCAAGTTTGAATTAATTCCAAAGGAAATTAAACAAATGCTGGTCCAAAATGTGATTTCCCTATATAAACTAGTCAAGTTTACCCCGTCCCCAGGGGGAAACGAGAGACCCCCAGGTCATGAAATTCATAATTTTGGTAAAGCACCTTAAGACCCTTCCATCTATGAAGAGTATTTGACTCTACCATATCTGGATCTTGAGAAGATTTTTTTTTTAAATTTTAGTCAATTTGACCTTTTTTTGCCCCGCCCCTCAGGCCTGGGGGCGATATAATTCACAATTTCGGTTGACCTTTGGCCATGAAAGGTTTCTGCAAAATTTCATTGAAATTGGTTCAGGGGTATTGGAGAAGAAGTCAAAAATGTTAACTGTTTATAGACGGCGGGCAAAAGGCGATCGCTACAGGTCACTTTGTCTTTGTCTCAGGTGACCTAAAAACATCCTGTTCCTGAGTTACCATTAAAAACCTTTTGTTCCTGAGTTGCTATTACATTGTTACTCCATATGCCTTGGTGATTATTACTTACAAAGTTCCTGAAGTGCCCCTATATTGGAATGTCCACCTATATGTTTGAGAGATCGCTCTAAGTTTGGAGCACTTTTTGACCACCTTCCATCCCCGAAAAAGACAGATGACCTTGGATGGCGTTCCTTTTTTGCAGTGCTTGGTCCCCAGGTTTGACCTTTGATCCCATCAGCTGGATCTAAAATGTAATGACATCAGGTTTAGTAATGGTATCCTGTATATTTACTGTGTCAGTATTTGATAGCTAGTCTATTTTAACACTATTGTACTAGTAGAAAATAACTGTTTTAAGTTTAACAGATCAATATTCTATGGCATGAAAGGGTAATAAGTACCAAGTATTTTTCTTTGGAAACCAGGTATGGCTTCCGATCAGAGCAACAAAATGAAATGGGCTTAAAGGGGCTGGTCGGAGAAAAATTACAAAATAAATGGGTCTAAATGCGTTCTCTGGCCTTCCAAAAGTTATACCACAGCAATATGATGGTCGAGTTCTGCTTGCAATGTCCAATTTTGACCACTGAAATGTCGGGGAAGCCCCGTGTAAATTTAGCGCAGATCTATATCAGATATGTCACATGGTTGTTTCGAAAGTGAGGCAGTGAAGATAACAACAATAGCACGACGTCATGTGCCATGTTGGACTCAACTAGCGGACAAGACAGCAATACCATACGTAAATAATTGTTTTCAAGGGTCCTGTATGATGCAAGTGTAGTATTCCTACCTTTTGTTGTTGTTATATATAACGGTATTGATACCTCGTGCCTGTCATGAATTTTGCATGCATCTTTTTCTTTCGCCGCGATGTTTACATTTGACCTTGTTGATGACCGCATGCAGTAAAATTACATCACTGATCTGGGTCAATTGAGAGTTTTAGACTGTCAGGTGACAATTTAGGATTTCTTTAATATAATTATAACTTTTACTTTTAGGGAGTGAATTTCAGCAAAATTTGTATTGGTATATTTCATAAGAAGGTATTTTAAACATGTGTATGCCATTTTAGCAAATATGACATTTTTTCCCCGACCAGCCCCTTTAATTACAAAGTATGGTTTGAATACGAGATGATAAAAAGTCAATAGAAGTAACAGCCCACACAGAGGAAATCCTTACAAGCTTTTGGCCCTATCCAGACGGGAAAGATGGACTTTCTTAGTCAATAGAAGTAACAGCCCACACAGAGGAAATCCTTACAAGCTATTGGCCCTATCCAGACGGGTAAGACGGACTTATTTAGTCAATAGAAGCTACAGCCCACACAGAGGAAATCCTTACAAGCTATTGGCCCTATCCTGACGGGAAAGATGGACTTCCTTAGTCAATAGAAGCTACAGCCCACAGAGGAAACCTTACAAGCTATTGGCCCTATCCAGACGGGTAGGATGGACTTCCTTAGTCAATAGAAGCTACAGCCCACAGAGGAAACCTTACAAGCTATTGGCCCTATCCAGACGGGAAAGATGGACTTTCTTAGTCAATATAAGATATAGCCCACACAGAGGAAACCTTACAAGCTATTGGCCCTATCCAGACGTGTAAGACGGACTTATTTAGTCAATAGAAGCTACAGCCCACACAGAGGAAACCCTTACAAGCTATTGGCCCTATCCAGACGGGTAGGATGGACTTCCTTAGTCAATAGAAGCTACAGCCCACACAGAGGAAATACTTACAAGCTATGGCCCGTAGCCGGGGAGGATGAAATGAAGTTGGTGAGTGTGGTGGGCTTTCTGGACTAGCCGGATGACCATGGTGATACGGCGATTCATGCTGAACAGTGATATTGTGTCGAAAGTCTGAAATTACACACAAATAAAGACATAAAGACATGTTCAACACTTACATTGAAATATCTGGTTCTAATTTTTACCAATCACAAGAATTCATAGATTTTCTTCTTACTTCTAGGTGTTCTAATATGAAAACATCTAAATTTTGGAAAACATTTATTTGGAGCCCAGACGTAAAGTAGGTATTTGTATCTTATATTAGATTCACAAATTGAGGTCCTGAAGTGACAATTTCTTTTTCCTAGTTTATATTTAAAACTTTTTTACAGGAAGTGATGCATCCAGACAAATACAGTGCATATATTGTAAAAGTGGAAATTTCACAGTGTGGAAATGCTACATCGAGTGAATATGTGCAAAAAGATATCCACACGTGAATCTTCATTTATAGATTACATGGGTAATAGACGCAGAATATACGGATTTCAGAACCATTACCAATGCGAACATTTCCACAATGCGATGATCAGTTTAAAGAGCCACAACGTGGACATTCCCACTTTCAGACAATTTGATTACCTGAGGGTTCGCTGATGGAGCTGCCTCCATATTTCAGAAGTTTTAGGCGACTCTTTTTAAATTTTCCCTTTCTTGTCCTAGGTTTTGGGTTACCCATGATCTGCTGTAGGATCATGATGTTAAGTTCACGCTCCACCAGCTCTATCTCCCTCTCCTTTAGTTCCTGCTCGCGCTTGTGAAGGAGTTCCTCTATTTTCTTTTGCTGCAATGCTGCTTTTGTCAACTCCTCTTCCCTGCATCGAAGCTCCTAAAATCATTAATTGAATACATCAACAGCATTTCAAGGAAAAAACACAGTTTTAAATGACACTTTTCTTACATAAAAGATTTTCAAGGACCAACATTAACCACTTGATTTCAGGGGCTTAAGGAGTACATCTACAAAGGGAGAAAATTCTTACATAATAGATCCCAGGTATTCTGTGCTTCATAAATATACATGTAACAACTATTGGTTATCCAGGGGCTTGATTTAAATTTGTGTTACAACAGGTGTGGATAATCTTTATACCTGCCCTCTTAATGTTGTCATATACTCCAAATAAGATGCTTTAGTGGTTGTACTGTTCCTGTGTATCTGTTGTGTACAGTCAAAGTTTGCTTACCAATCAATCACCCTTAAGGAGGCTCAACCCTTTAGCAATTAACCAGCAGAATTCAATAAAAGTTTCAATAAAAGTTTCACATAATGGTTATGTCACTATGCAGAGATGATTTTATTTTACATTTTACTATCATTTTGATCCTGATGAGAGTTGTCTATCTTGAAAAAAATCGGAACTTTTTGCAGAGGGATATGATTTACACAATGTCAAGAAATTAAATTATGATATCAAAATTGTCAATTTACTGTTCTTTTATGGAACAAAATTACTCTCAATCATGTACACTTTGGACATCATTCCATAGCCCGCTTACGCATGGTATAAATGTTTACATGTCAGGTACATATGTAACCATAGGCTATTGTATGGTATGCTGTTATCATGTGCACTAGTGTTTTAAGGGGTCTTGATATTTTACAAAACATTCTTTTCACAGAGTTGTTTGCATTGGTGAAATGATTTACCTGACAGAGCGTAACTCGCTCGACAACAAAAATAGTAGCGACCCCGAGCTTGTGAACTAGTGCTAGCACGCGATTTGTACAGGTGAGGTTGATAAACAAAACACATTAGTCTACATTCCATGTGCCTCATCTATATACAACCTTCTTAAAGTCGTCTGATCTGATGTCGGTGTCTTCCTGTTTGTTCGTTTATGTCTTTGTATCGGAATCTTTATTTCTGGAGTATGTGTGATTATACATTTCCCAGTTAAGTCTCGATATCGGGTGTTGACATATCATCGTCACGCACGTGTACTATTTTTTACCCGGTGTTACTATAATTTACACTACAGTAATGAAATACCCGATAGGGAAATGACGACACGAAAATAGGACAAGAAAAACATGTGTATTACGAAGGGTGGGAAATCCTTAAAGGGTTCCAACACTGTGTAATGCTCGGACACAACCAACCAGAACAGGTTAGAAGCTGTAGTTATTACAGGGTTCCAACACTGTGTAATGCTCGGACACAACCAGAACAGGTTAGAAGCTGTAGTTAGGGCCCCTTATCGGAGATACGGGTGCCCTATAGTAATCACCTTGTCTGTCTGTCTGTCTGTCCACAAATTTTGTTCCTGGCTGATAACTTTGGTATTTATTGACCGATGTACATGAAACTTGGTCAAGATGTTTAGTTCACAAATATACACATTGATGTAAAAAGTCAAGGTCATTAGATTCAAAGGTCAAGGTCAAATTTTGCTTATTTTCACTGATGAACATTTTGTTATGGTATGATGAAGCAAAGTTGATCAGAATTAAACAAGGAGTCAACCAGACCAAATGTCAAGGTCATTGGGTCAAAGGTCAAGGTTGAATTTTGTATCTTTTCACTGGTGAACATTTTGGTATGACTTTACGAAGCAAAGTTGGTCGGAATTTAACAAAGAGGCAACTGACTTAAGGTCAAGGTCACTCGGTCAAAGGTCAAGGTAAAATTTAGTATTTTTTTGCTGGTGAACATTTCATTATGACACTTTGAAGCAATGTTTGCGGGAATTAAACAAGGAGTCATTTGACCAAAGGGCAAAGTCACTGAGTCAAAGGTCAAGGTCAAATTGTGTATCTTTTTAACTGATTAACCTTTTTGTTATGACATTATGAAGCAAAGTTGGTCCGAATTTAAAAAGGAGTCAACTGACTTAAGGTCAAGGTCACGTGGTCAATGTCAAGGTCAATTATTGTATCTTTTTACTGATGAACTTTTTTTAATGTTATTATGTAGCAAACTTGTTCAGAACTTAACACAGAGTAAACTGACCTTAGATCCAGGTTACGGAGTCCAAAGGGTCAAGGTCAAGTTTTGTATTTTTCACCCATGAACTTTTTTTGTTATGATATTATGAAGCATCGTTGGTCAGAATTAAAGAATAAATCAACTGACCAAAGATCAGGGTCACTGGGTTAATGGTTAAGGTCATTTGGGTCCAAAGGTCAAAGACAAAGGGGATCTCTGACTTTGACTCTGGCTCTTGATGGAGGAGGTTTATAAGGTGAAATAAAACAAATCAAAGCTAACAAATATGTATTACACCAGTATTTACATTTCTGTTAGCCCAACAAATATGGAGGTGGAATGAAACAAGACTCGCGTCATAGTACATGTAAAATTTATATTTTGCTTCCTTGCGATTCTTTTTGAAGTCAAAATGTCAAATGTCAAGCTCAGCTATATGGGCAAATTGCTTCTTGATGATTATGGGGGATATATTGCCACAAGACAGGGCTCTTACTGACCTGTCAGTGTTCTAGTTATAACAGGGTTCCAACACTGTGTAATGCTCGGACACAACCAGAACAGGTTAGAAGCTGTAGTTATTACAGGGTTCCAACACTGTGTAATGCTCGGACACAACCAGAACAGGTTAGAAGCTGTAGTTATTACAGGGTTCCAACACTGTGTAATGCTCGGACACAACCAGAACAGGTTAGAAGCTGTAGTTATTACAGGGTTCCAACACTGTGTAATGCTCGGACACAACCAGAACAGGTTAGAAGCTGTAGTTATTACAGGGTTCCAACACTGTGTAATGCTCGGACACAACCAGAACAGGTTAGAAGCTGTAGTTATTACAGGGTTCCAACACTGTGTAATGCTCGGACACAACCAGAACAGGTTAGAAGCTGTAGTTATTACAGGGTTCCAACACTGTGTAATGCTCGGACACAACCAGAACAGGTTAGAAGCTGTAGTTATTACAGGGTTCCAACACTGTGTAATGCTCGGACACAACCAGAACAGGTTAGAAGCTGTAGTTATTACAGGGTTCCAACACTGTGTAATGCTCGGACACAACCAGAACAGGTTAGAAGCTGTAGTTATTACAGGGTTCCAACACTGTGTAATGCTCGGACACAACCAGAACAGGTTAGAAGCTGTAGTTATTACAGGGTTCCAACACTGTGTAATGCTCGGACACAACCAGAACAGGTTAGAAGCTGTAGTTATTACAGGGTTCCAACACTGTGTAATGCTCGGACACAACCAGAACAGGTTAGAAGCTGTAGTTATTACAGGGTTCCAACACTGTGTAATGCTCGGACACAACCAGAACAGGTTAGAAGCTGTAGTTATTACAGGGTTCCAACACTGTGTAATGCTCGGACACAACCAGAACAGGTTAGAAGCTGTAGTTATTACAGGGTTCCAACACTGTGTAATGCTCGGACACAACCAGAACAGGTTAGAAGCTGTAGTTATTACAGGGTTCCAACACTGTGTAATGCTCGGACACAACCAGAACAGGTTAGAAGCTGTAGTTATTACAGGGTTCCAACACTGTGTAATGCTCGGACACAACCAGAACAGGTTAGAAGCTGTAGTTATTACAGGGTTCCAACACTGTGTAATGCTCGGACACAACCAGAACAGGTTAGAAGCTGTAGTTATTACAGGGTTCCAACACTGTGTAATGCTCGGACACAACCAGAACAGGTTAGAAGCTGTAGTTATTACAGGGTTCCAACACTGTGTAATGCTCGGACACAACCAGAACAGGTTAGAAGCTGTAGTTATTACAGGGTTCCAACACTGTGTAATGCTCGGACACAACCAGAACAGGTTAGAAGCTGTAGTTATTACAGGGTTCCAACACTGTGTAATGCTCGGACACAACCAGAACAGGTTAGAAGCTGTAGTTATTACAGGGTTCCAACACTGTGTAATGCTCGGACACAACCAGAACAGGTTAGAAGCTGTAGTTATTACAGGGTTCCAACACTGTGTAATGCTCGGACACAACCAGAACAGGTTAGAAGCTGTAGTTATTACAGGGTTCCAACACTGTGTAATGCTCGGACACAACCAGAACAGGTTAGAAGCTGTAGTTATTACAGGGTTCCAACACTGTGTAATGCTCGGACACAACCAGAACAGGTTAGAAGCTGTAGTTATTACAGGGTTCCAACACTGTGTAATGCTCGGACACAACCAGAACAGGTTAGAAGCTGTAGTTATTACAGGGTTCCAACACTGTGTAATGCTCGGACACAACCAGAACAGGTTAGAAGCTGTAGTTATTACAGGGTTCCAACACTGTGTAATGCTCGGACACAACCAGAACAGGTTAGAAGCTGTAGTTATTACAGGGTTCCAACACTGTGTAATGCTCGGACACAACCAGAACAGGTTAGAAGCTGTAGTTATTACAGGGTTCCAACACTGTGTAATGCTCGGACACAACCAGAACAGGTTAGAAGCTGTAGTTATTACAGGGTTCCAACACTGTGTAATGCTCGGACACAACCAGAACAGGTTAGAAGCTGTAGTTATTACAGGGTTCCAACACTGTGTAATGCTCGGACACAACCAGAACAGGTTAGAAGCTGTAGTTATTACAGGGTTCCAACACTGTGTAATGCTCGGACACAACCAGAACAGGTTAGAAGCTGTAGTTATTACAGGGTTCCAACACTGTGTAATGCTCGGACACAACCAGAACAGGTTAGAAGCTGTAGTTATTACAGGGTTCCAACACTGTGTAATGCTCGGACACAACCAGAACAGGTTAGAAGCTGTAGTTATTACAGGGTTCCAACACTGTGTAATGCTCGGACACAACCAGAACAGGTTAGAAGCTGTAGTTATTACAGGGTTCCAACACTGTGTAATGCTCGGACACAACCAGAACAGGTTAGAAGCTGTAGTTATTACAGGGTTCCAACACTGTGTAATGCTCGGACACAACCAGAACAGGTTAGAAGCTGTAGTTATTACAGGGTTCCAACACTGTGTAATGCTCGGACACAACCAGAACAGGTTAGAAGCTGTAGTTATTACAGGGTTCCAACACTGTGTAATGCTCGGACACAACCAGAACAGGTTAGAAGCTGTAGTTATTACAGGGTTCCAACACTGTGTAATGCTCGGACACAACCAGAACAGGTTAGAAGCTGTAGTTATTACAGGGTTCCAACACTGTGTAATGCTCGGACACAACCAGAACAGGTTAGAAGCTGTAGTTATTACAGGGTTCCAACACTGTGTAATGCTCGGACACAACCAGAACAGGTTAGAAGCTGTAGTTATTACAGGGTTCCAACACTGTGTAATGCTCGGACACAACCAGAACAGGTTAGAAGCTGTAGTTATTACAGGGTTCCAACACTGTGTAATGCTCGGACACAACCAGAACAGGTTAGAAGCTGTAGTTATTACAGGGTTCCAACACTGTGTAATGCTCGGACACAACCAGAACAGGTTAGAAGCTGTAGTTATTACAGGGTTCCAACACTGTGTAATGCTCGGACACAACCAGAACAGGTTAGAAGCTGTAGTTATTACAGGGTTCCAACACTGTGTAATGCTCGGACACAACCAGAACAGGTTAGAAGCTGTAGTTATTACAGGGTTCCAACACTGTGTAATGCTCGGACACAACCAGAACAGGTTAGAAGCTGTAGTTATTACAGGGTTCCAACACTGTGTAATGCTCGGACACAACCAGAACAGGTTAGAAGCTGTAGTTATTACAGGGTTCCAACACTGTGTAATGCTCGGACACAACCAGAACAGGTTAGAAGCTGTAGTTATTACAGGGTTCCAACACTGTGTAATGCTCGGACACAACCAGAACAGGTTAGAAGCTGTAGTTATTACAGGGTTCCAACACTGTGTAATGCTCGGACACAACCAGAACAGGTTAGAAGCTGTAGTTATTACAGGGTTCCAACACTGTGTAATGCTCGGACACAACCAGAACAGGTTAGAAGCTGTAGTTATTACAGGGTTCCAACACTGTGTAATGCTCGGACACAACCAGAACAGGTTAGAAGCTGTAGTTATTACAGGGTTCCAACACTGTGTAATGCTCGGACACAACCAGAACAGGTTAGAAGCTGTAGTTATTACAGGGTTCCAACACTGTGTAATGCTCGGACACAACCAGAACAGGTTAGAAGCTGTAGTTATTACAGGGTTCCAACACTGTGTAATGCTCGGACACAACCAGAACAGGTTAGAAGCTGTAGTTATTACAGGGTTCCAACACTGTGTAATGCTCGGACACAACCAGAACAGGTTAGAAGCTGTAGTTATTACAGGGTTCCAACACTGTGTAATGCTCGGACACAACCAGAACAGGTTAGAAGCTGTAGTTATTACAGGGTTCCAACACTGTGTAATGCTCGGACACAACCAGAACAGGTTAGAAGCTGTAGTTATTACAGGGTTCCAACACTGTGTAATGCTCGGACACAACCAGAACAGGTTAGAAGCTGTAGTTATTACAGGGTTCCAACACTGTGTAATGCTCGGACACAACCAGAACAGGTTAGAAGCTGTAGTTATTACAGGGTTCCAACACTGTGTAATGCTCGGACACAACCAGAACAGGTTAGAAGCTGTAGTTATTACAGGGTTCCAACACTGTGTAATGCTCGGACACAACCAGAACAGGTTAGAAGCTGTAGTTATTACAGGGTTCCAACACTGTGTAATGCTCGGACACAACCAGAACAGGTTAGAAGCTGTAGTTATTACAGGGTTCCAACACTGTGTAATGCTCGGACACAACCAGAACAGGTTAGAAGCTGTAGTTATTACAGGGTTCCAACACTGTGTAATGCTCGGACACAACCAGAACAGGTTAGAAGCTGTAGTTATTACAGGGTTCCAACACTGTGTAATGCTCGGACACAACCAGAACAGGTTAGAAGCTGTAGTTATTACAGGGTTCCAACACTGTGTAATGCTCGGACACAACCAGAACAGGTTAGAAGCTGTAGTTATTACAGGGTTCCAACACTGTGTAATGCTCAGACACAACCAGAACAGGTTAGAAGCTGTAGTTATTACAGGGTTCCAACACTGTGTAATGCTCAGACACAACCAGAACAGGTTAGAAGCTGTAGTTATTACATTTCTTTGCTCTAGAGTTTTAGAATTGTATCCCTTCTCAGTTTCTGGCTACCTAAACTTTACCTTGTAAATGAGTTTTTGAAACATACCTTTTCTTTGAGTCTGAGTTCATTGAACATTTCTTCTATTTCTAAGCGCCAGTCTTCTTGCATAGTATGGAAGGATTCCTGAGGAGTTGTCATAAAAGGAGAGGAGGCAATCTCACGGAGTCGGTGCAGAATCTCGGCGAAGGTTGGCCGCTGGTGAGGCTCCTGGTGCCAGCAGTCTGCAAGGAGGCAAAAAATATAGTAAATTGAAAGACTAGTTACGCCATGGTATTTATCCATTAGATATTCTTACTTTCCCAAGAGGGAGAAAACAAGAGGCCCAGAGGGCCTGTATCACTCACCTGAATATCTAACCGGTCATAGCAAAATATTCTCATTTAATATAATACTGTACTACAAATGTTTCACTCGCAAACTTTATCGGCTCCATCTGTTGAAACTACCAGCCAAATACTATTATACGATTCTATGCTTTTTGGTTCTTCTTTAGAAATTCAGAAATTGTTTGAAGTGTTTGACATATCTTTATCTTTAACCTTGTATGAAGGTCAAGGTCATTTTTCAACTCAAACTTTGTTGGCTCTATCCCAAGGAGCTACCAACCAAAAATTATTAATCCATTCCATTTGGTTCTTCAAAACAAATCTTTGAAATGTTGTTGACCTCTGTGACCTTTAAAGTGTGTCAAGATCTTTTTCATTTGCAAACTTCGGTGAGCTCTATTCCAAGAAGCCACCAGCCAAATACTATGATTATATGCCTTTCAGTTCTTCAGAAGAACTCGTTTGAAGTGTTTGACACCTGATACCTTGAAAGTAGGTCAAGGTCATTTCCATTCTCAAACTTTAAGATGTTTGAAGTATTTGACCCCTGTGACCTTGAAAGTAGGTCAAGGTCATTTTCGTTCTCAAACTTTGTCAGGCTCCTACCGACGAAGCCACCAGCCAAATATCATGACTCTAGGCCTGTCCATCGGGCAGGTGAGCTAAAAATCACTTTAAGAAAGACTTTCTTTTATCATCTCTATAAGCAGTACCATACTTCAGTTTTTGTGATCCTATATTTAAGTCTTTTGGAAGTTTCAGACATAATGCATTCATTTACTTAAGGATTGACCTGCATTTTGAAGGACTGTAGTATGAAAGCAGTTGGCAACGAACATATTCTATGGTGTGCGTTGGCGCTCCATAAAGAATATGTTCATTGCCAACTGCATTCATACTACTGTATATGCCATCAAAATGAAGGTTTATCCTTATATTTACATCATAAATAACAAAGAAAAGAACATTCAAAGTGGGTTGCTACAATGGTAACCAAGGTAGCTGTAGTTGCTAGGATAATAAGTTCCAGTGAATCAACATCGATATTTAGGCTTTAAATTTTTTAATTAAGTAACATTAATAGCATTTCGAACATATTTATTCATTTATAACTGTCTTTATGTACATGTCTTGACACACTGCTCTGGTAGTGACACGGTCGAATGTTGCAAAAGGAAGCTGCCATTGTTTACTTAACCATCAAAGAAATTTGAATGTGCATCAATGAAATAAGAAGTTTGCCAACATCCCTTTGTTGTATAATCATCCATAATGGATCCCGAAAATGTTCCGTATTTCTAAATGTTGAAGGAACCAAACAATGGCTGTCATTGAACAGTTATCTAGCTGAAGTGTGAACAGCGCCACATTTGAAACAGGTAACAATCTGCTGAGCCTTTTTTTCATGGCGTATATGTTAGTTTATAGGCAGTCAGAGTTTCGAAGCTGAAGAAGGGAGAGATAAACAGGTCTTTTGTTTGTCACATTATGATCTCAAAAGACCTACTATGTGACAAATTTGCTGATGCTACATAAAACAGCCCCAAAGAAGCTCTCCGAACAGGGATGTGTGATGGAAGGACAAAGTGGTGACTAAAGTGTTCTCCACTAACAGCCCCATAGAAACTCTCCGAACAGGCTGAACAGGGATGCGTGATGGAAGGACAAAGTGGTGACTAAAGTGTTCTCCACTAACAGCCCCATAGAAACTTTCCGAACAGGCTGAACAGGGATGCATGATGGAAGGACAAAGTGGGGACTATAGTGTTCTCCACAAACAGCCCAATAGAAACTTTCCAAACAGGGATGCGTGAAAGAAGGACAAAGTGGTGACTATAGAGTTCTCCACTAACAGCCCCATAGAAACTCTCCAAACAGGGATGCGTGATGGAAGGACAAAGTGGTGTCTATAGTGTTCTCCACTAACAGCCCCATAGAAACTTTCCGAACAGGCTGAACAGGGATGCATGATGGAAGGACAAAGTGGGGACTATAGTGTTCTCCACAAACAGCCCAATAGAAACTTTCCAAACAGGGATGCGTGAAAGAAGGACAAAGTGGTGACTATAGTGTTCTCCACAAACAGCCCAATATAAACTCTCCAAACAGGGATGCGTGAAAGAAGGACAAAGTGGTGACTATAGAGTTCTCCACTAACAGCCCCATAGAAACTCTCCAAACAGGGATACTTGATGGAAGGACAAAGTGGTGACTATAGTGATCTCCACTAACAGCCCCAAAGAAACTCTATGAACAGGGATGCGTGATGGAAGGACAAAGTTGTGACTATAGTGTTCTCCACTAACAGCCCCATAGAAACTTTCCAAACAGGGATACTTGATGGAAGGACAAAGTGGTGACTATAGTGATCTCCACTAACAGCCCCAAAGAAACTCTACGAACAGGGATGCGTGATGGAAGGACAAAGTTGTGACTATAGTGTTCTCCACTAACAGCCCCATAGAAACTTTCCAAACAGGGATACTTGATGGAAGGACAAAGTGGTGACTATAGTGATCTCCACTAACAGCCCCAAAGAAACTCTACGAACAGGGATGCGTGATGGAAGGACAAAGTTGTGACTATAGTGTTCTCCACTAACAGCCCCATAGAAACTTTCCGAACAGGCTGAACAGGGATGCATGATGGAAGGACAAAGTGGTGACTACAGTGTTCTCCACTAACAGCCCCATAGAAACTCTCTGAACAGGGATGCATGATGGAAGGACAAAGTGGTGACTACAGTGTTCTCCACTAACAGCCCCATAGAAACTCTCCAAACAGGGATGCGTGAAAGAAGGACAAAGTGGTGACTATAGTGTTCTCCACAAACAGCCCAATAGAAACTCTCCAAACAGGGATGCGTGAAAGAAGGACAAAGTGGTGACTATAGTGTTCTCCACTAACAGCCCCATAGAAACTCTCCAAACAGGGATGCGTGATGGAAGGACAAAGTGGTGACTATTGTGATCTCCACTAACAGCCCCAAAGAAACTCTACGAACAGGGATGCGTGATGGAAGGACAAAGTGGTGACTATAGTGTTCTCCACTAACAGCCCCATAGAAACTCTCGAAACAGGGATGTGTGATGGAAGGACAAAGTGGTGACTATAGTGTTCTCTACTAACAGCCCCATAGAAACTCTCCAAACAGGGATGCGTGATGGAAGGACAAAGTGGTGACTATAGTGTTCCCCACTAACAGCCCCATAGAATTTCTCCGAACAGGGATGCGTGATGGAAGGACAAAGTGGTGACTATAGTGTTCCCCACTAACAGCCCCATAGAAACTCTCCGAACAGGGATGTGTGATGGAAGGACAAAGTTGTGACTATAGTGTTCTCCACTAACAGCCCCATAGAAACTCTCCAAACAGGGATGCATGATGGAAGGACAAAGTGGTGACTTTAGTGTTCTCTACTAACAGCCCCATAGAAACTCTCCAAACAGGGATGCGTGATGGAAGGACAAAGTGGTGACTATAGTGTTCTCTACTAACAGCCCCATAGAATCTCTCCAAACAGGGATGCGTGATGGAAGGACAAAGTGGTGACTACAGTGTTCTCAACTAACAGCCCCATAGAAACTCTCCGAACAAGGATGCATGATGGAAGGACAAAGTGGTGACTTTAGTGTTCTCTACTAACAGCCCCATAGAAACCCTCCGAACAAGGATGCATGATGGAAGGACAAAGTGGTGACTTTAGTGTTCTCTACTAACAGCCCCATAGAAACTCTCCGAACAGGGATGCATGATGGAAGGACAAAGTGGTGACTATGGTGTTCTCTACTCAAACTCGTTTGCTGCTTTAACCGATTTTTTCTGCTTATTAATTTTGCTCATTTTCTCAGCACATACTTGATCTGAATTCAGAAAGTTCTGAACCATTGAAAATGACATTTGTCAATTATGTAATTGTAAGCGAGGCTGATAAGGTTACTGTTGGTAACAGAATTGAAATTTCATCAATTTTCCATGACACAAGTGTCACAAACTATGTCTAATTATACTTTATACCTTGCAGCTGAAATTACTGGTACGTTGTACAAGAAAACTCAAGCAGTCAATGATTTGATTTTCTTTCTTCAGATGATTCCAAATTCTAATTATGTTCCCAGCTTAGCAATGATTGCAGCTCCTACACATAAAAGCCATTAATTGACTTCGGTATATGTTTGGCAGCAAAAGTTGCCTGGTTTTTGAATTCAGTGAAATATAACGAAAACCATATCCTGTATATATGTGAGAAGCTGTGGTATTGTACTGCTTTCTTTAATGACACACAAGACTGTACATACTGATAATTAATGTTTTGTTAAATAGTTTAACAGATATAAAGGAACATCAACTTTTAAAGACAACAATTGCATTTTCTGCATTCGAAACATTGTCTGAGATATTGTTGTAGTTTTTTTTTCTTCTTTTAATTTTATTTGAAAATGTATCTTAATCTTATATTTAAAGGTCAAAATGTTTTCTTTTGAAGAAATCAGTAAACTCACAGCTAATACATTCCAAGACTCACTTCCTGAACACCATTCTTTTTTTTAAACTCTGTAGAATGTTATACCTGCAGGTGTAGTATATATATCTCATATGTGTGTCTTTCCTTTTTATACGTTCCCTTTCAAAAGACATCTTTTGTATAAATAGCCTTTAAAAGACTTGAACTCAAATGTACAGATAAATGTTACACATGATAAACATTAAGAAATAAGTAAGCAAACTTGGGTATTCTGGACAAAGATTGGGACTATTTAGATTATTTCTAATTGGGAATGGACCTAAAATTGGAATGAGGCCAAATTGGACCCAACCTCCCCACATACTGTATAATAATAATAACAAGAGGCCCAGAGGGCCTGTATCACTCACCTGAATATGTTTAATATAATTGGTATGAAGTAAAGATATAGCACTCAATGGTACAGCACGTAAATATATATGAAATTTCAGAAAGATCAATCCAGTACTTGAGATATAGCAAGAACAAACTTCAAACAGAGCCCCACCCCTATGCCCCTAAGGGAGGGGGGGGTCATACCCACCGTTTATACAAAATTGAGTCCCATTGGCCAAAGGATCGATGCTCCAGACTAAATAAGGATGAAATCCCTTAATCCTGATAGTCAAAGAATTTGCTATATTTCCCCTATTGGGCCCCACCCCTTAGCCCCGAGGGGGACCAGACCAACTGTTTATACAAAATTGGTTCCCCTTCACCCAAGAATGCTTCAGACCAAATTTAGTCCAAATCCTTTCATTCCTACAGAGGAAGAAGGATTTTAAAGAATTTGCTACGTTTCCCCTATTGGGCCCATCCCCTCAGCCCCAAGGACTCAAAATTAAGTCCCCTTGGCCTAAGGATGCTCCAGAACAAACTTAGTCCAAATCTACGGGGCCGTTTAGGACAAGTAGCATTTTAAATGAAAAGTTGACGAACGAACGGACGACGGACGCTGCGCCATGGCATTTAATAATATACAGCATTTGATATATCGCCCTATCTAGCTAACATCAGCCAATCTAAAGCGCTTTACAAGTACATAGATATACAATTAATACAATTAGCATATACATTAATCATTACAAATTTTTGAGAAATTTGCAGGAGCTGCCTTATCAGGCGCTAACTACTAGTCCTATACCACCTGGCTGATATCTCCCTATGTGTGTATGGCTGTGTGTGAGCTGGAAATGTAATGTGTTCTGTTTGTAGTGGGACTGTGCTTCCAACAGCATCATTTATAGTGCCAACTCACTTGATCCACCCCAGACCAATTTATACTCCACCTGGGTTGTTGGAGTTGTGTGGACAGGAGAAAAAACACTTTCTCTGAATATCCATGCGTACGACGACTTTGGGGATCGAACCCCGACCGCCTGCGTGGAAGGCCAGAGTGTTGACCACTTGACAAATCCGCCCACAATACTGCAACCCTCCTCTCAGAAGAGGTGGGGTTTATGCATTCTTACTAACAATGGTCCCACAAACTGGTAAAATATGGTATGAATATATATATATACCACTTCATCAGTTTACGTAATATATTTAATATCATATATCTACACTGAATATTCTACACATTACTTACCAGGTAGTGCCAATCAGGGGCATGCAAGACATGTCAAAAGCATTTATATATAAGTCCCTCAGGGACATGCACAATAGACATGGCAATTCATGTCTCGTGGTCCTGTGTCCATGTTGTCATTTGTGCTGTGACAGTATATTTCACTTTATCTTATGAGTGGCCCCATCATCAGCGGACACTGTTATCAAACGACCTTGAGGACATAAAACAATGAAATCTTACCCAATACACCCTACGTAGCATACCCACCTGACATGAGTTTGGAGAAGAGACCTGGACAAGTGCTGGGGATGGGCAGGGTGAGTTTGTTCACCGCCACACCGTACGCCACACCCAGAGCATCAATGCCCTTGTAAGGCGTTTCGCCTGTCAGTAACTCCCAAAGGACCACACCATAGCTGGAAAACAAGACAGAAGGTAAATGTTAACGTGTCCTGTTTTATCATTCACTCATGCCAGTTCCATCACAGAAACAGGCACGCCAGCAAAGCAGGCTGCAGTTGTACTTCTGATCAATACCATTGTCTGTTTTTGACAGTTGATGAAGATGCCAATATCCCAATCTTACACAATGGTTCCATTCATACATACATATATATATATATCTACAATATACACAAGTTAAAGCCAAGCTCTTCCAAATCATAAACCAAGAACATTTAAATTTCAAATGTGTATAAATTCTAAAAAAGAAAAAACATGTACATACATACTTTTTAACATGTATATATTGAGATAGTAATAAAACCAACTCCAGGGCCCGTATTTATGAATCCGTTCTCATGCTCAAGCATGGATTCTGTGCTCAAGCCAGCTTTCTTGTAACCCACCTAAATCATGTCTACGAACAAAAAGTCAAATTCAAATATTGAAAACAGTATTTGGCTTCAAGTTTCTTCAATTTTTATCCAAAACTTCAACAAAACAAAGATTTTTTAAATAATTTATACCTGGAACAAGAAATTAGACTTGAGCAAAAATCCATGCTTGAGCATGAGAACAGTTTCATGAATACAGGCCCAGGTAAACAAAAGTTGCAACTATTCTAACAGTCTTCAGATATGAGCAAACTACTACAAACAATAACCTCATATCAAGTAACAGTGCCTATATCAAATTCTGCTTTGAAGAAAATCTGAATTCATCATATGATCAATATCAGCACAGCAATGTGGCAAAATTTTACAAAATACATCAATTATATGTGGTCTTACAGAAAGACGAAAAGCAGAAAGTACATATATATATATACATAATTATTTGAGAAAGTTTGAAAGTCAATCTTGATGAACAGCACAAAACACGTACACAAAACATGTACACAAAAAAATATCACACCCTGACAAGTGGTAATGGCTCCCTGGGGTCGAGGACAAAATACCACTGTACAATAACAGTGATAAAATACTGCTGGTTTCATTACAGAATAACCCAGACTTGCCAACAGATATCTGAGGATGATTCACTCTAATATAAACCGTTTCGTTCCCTACTCGGTTAACATTAGGGCAAAATAAAATGCTTTCTCACCTCCTTCAACGCTTTAGTGGTAATATACATGTATGCTTTTAGTTTAAGGATCCCTGTCCCACTGCAGTGGGTTCTATTGTATACACAGTATTCTCCCCTGAATTTGGTTTTGGATATAGTATATATAGAGTGAAATTCATCAGTTTGGTATGAATACTAAATGCTAAGTTTGTTTTGAATACAAAAAAGGAATCAAAAAATCTTTTATGAGCTTTTGAAAATGGCTGTTTCCCTTGTCAAGCAAAGATTGCAATTGCTTGACAAAGGAAGCAAGCATTTTAAAATCTTTTCAATCACTGTTGTGTTCAAAACAAACTTAGTATTTATGGTTTTGAATATGACTGTAGCTAGCCCAGTTGGTCTAGCATACCTTTGTTAACTATATGGCACAGTCAGTTAGAGTGATAGTA